GGCCGCGGCCGTCAAGGCGCACCACCACCACCCGCATTCGCACCACCTGCCGCAGCAGCAGCAGCTGGACATCGAGCCGGACAGGCCCATCGGATACGGAGCTTTCGGAGTGGTCTGGTAAGAGCTCTCTGGGTCACCCGTCCGCCTTGTGCTCAGGGCAGCCCCCCCCAGGCGCGGTGTCACATGGGAGGCAGGGGTCTGCGCCTGGTCTTCCCCGGACCGCTTCCGAGAAGGTGCCAGGCGGGAGAGGGGCGGGGTGTAAGTTCTGCTTAAGTAGCCTGGCGGTCTGAGTTATAGGAAAAAGAAAATCACTCGTTCAGTGTTCAGATCTTCCAGAGAACGGTCCGGCGTGAACTTGCACCTAGTTAACACTGTGCTGATGAAGCTGCGCTCTCCAGAATCGCTGGGGGAGCCGGAGTTAGTTGAGCGGGGCTGGGGGTTGAGTGTTAGCTCCGTTTCTCCTGCGAGTTCAAAACGGGACCTGCCGAACCAACCGGAGAGAACAGCTGTAGTAATCTGGCCAGGCGGGGATGGAGACCTGTTTCTCCTCTCTCTCTGGGACGTCATTCTACCACCTAGGGCTTTCCTTTCTCTTCTTGTCAGCGCGACAGGGCTTGCAGCGTTGCTGCATGATGATGTCAGTCTGGCAGTGCCAGTGAAATGGATATTTATAGGTGGTGGTTGCAGTGCCCAGGGCTGAGAGCACACTCTCTGGCACCGTTCTGCACACTCGGTAAAACTTTCAGATGGGTCTGGCTGCTGTTCTTAACTAGGGAGCTGTGTGGAGACGCTATCGCCCTCTATTGCAGGGAGAGCTGTGCCCATGCTGCTCTGGACCTGGGGTCGTAGAAAGCCTTTGATTCTGACGCCCTACTGATACTTATTTCATCCACATTTTTTCATTGCTGTGCTTTAAGTGCTGTTTTGTTAACGGGAGAATTTCTGGAGTTTTGTTTCTATGAATTTAGCTTTGATAGGAAATGCTGGAAACCTCACATGGCTGCCGGTGGGATCTTTGGAGAGGCTGGCCCTTTTGAAATAGGTTTTTGTCCTGTTCTTCTCCTAATGGCTCTGTCTGTTCAAGCTCATAGGCAATTAATGTGTTCATCAAGCTCTGGACCAGCTTGACAGATAAATCGGCACAGCCTGCGTTTTCCCAGAGTCTGTTTCAGTGATGACATACTTGAGTCTGGGTCTCTGTCCAGCTCTTCAGAATATATTTATCAGTAAAGACTTGTTCTAAGTGTTTCTTAACGATTGTATCAGTGGCTTTAGTGTGTTATATCATCTGCACGGCAAATCAAAGAATCTATAATCGCTGACCTAAAATGCTGGGTTTTAGCTTGAAAAACTTGTAACAAGAGGGCTGCACTGTTTGAAAATCCATTCTGGTTAGCACTGTCCTTGGGCTTAATTAAGGTAATGACATTTAAAAATAGAAACCCTGATAAAAAATTGAAGTGGCGTTTTTTGCCTCCTGTTCTTTCACTCAAAAGTAGCTGTATTTAGCAGCTCGATTTCAAAGCATGTATGGAGAGGTTTGATCACGCAAACCCAGTAGTTATAGTATATAAAGAAGGGAGATTGGTTATGAATCTGCTTGGTTTGGAAGTTCCTGTGGCATACCAAGAAATCTCCCTCAGTTAGTTTCAGGGCGGTGCCTTTTGAGGTTGTGGGCTTATTTACAGGTGGCTAAGGTGGCAGGTGTTAATGAAGAGAGCATCTACCGTAGGAAACAGTGGCGGTATACAGCAGATGGCTGAGGGTGCCTTAGGAATTTCGGTTCATGACCCTGGTTATTTTATTTCGATCCCAGTTGAGTAGTCAAGGTCAAGCGCAAAGGCACCTGCCTGCTTTAGCCAACCTTAACTGTCAGGTTTAAAAAGTGAGTGTTTAGTCACAAAGTGTTCACCCAGCCTTGAATGCAAGTCTCGTGCAGTGCAGAGCTTGTGGCTGTTTGTTTAAAATAAATGCGAGTTTCATATGTTATTGATTGCTTTTGAGGTAAGAATGGGGGAAATAGGTAATATTCCATCTTTCTCTGCTGCATGCTCTCCCAGATTACATTTCTTCCAAATCACTGCAGAGGTGACTTCAGTCCTGTGCAGAGAGGGGTAGTGTTGTGACAGTGAACAAGGGGTTAATATCCTCGGACTTGTTGATTTTTTTTTTTCTTCTCTAGCTTCCTCTTTTCTGACAAAAAGCATTTGGCTTCATTAGCACAAGAAGTTGGGGGCTAATGGCTATCAAAACAATCAAGAGGCGCTCTGGCGTGTCTCGGTTTCACGCAGGGAAGCCGTAGTCGTTATCTAGGCTGACCTTTCTTGAAAATCACTTCCTGTTGCTCATTGTCTGTTTTTAATCTGTGGCTCTGCGTATTTTTAGAAACTCTGAACGGAGACTCTGGGAGCAAACGATCTTTACAGATTTCACACTGCAGAGGCACGACACTGAGTATGGTTTGAAGCTTAACCATTGCTGATGCTCCAAGTTTTGTAAAAAAAACTCAAAGTGGGGAGTTTGTGAGTGTTTGGGGGGAAAATGTGTTTGAGGGGAGAGGAAGCATGATTCCTTGCAAAGCTTTTTAACAGATGGAGCCAGTGTTTTACCAGGGCGTTTTTTATGAAAGTACTGTTGTGTACGATCTGCTCATTGATGTATCACAGCTCAAATAATGAAGCAAATTGTTTGCTCTTGCTTAGAAAGCACGTGCTCTGTACTTCAGTACATAAAGATGGAATTGTGCTTTTACAGGTTAGAATAAAAAACCTGTGGTTTCTAAGACACATTTAGGTGCTATGCTAAATAACCTTAAAATAGCTGTGAGCCTGTGCATTTTATGTAGACATGTTTTTAGTGTTAACACTGTCACTTTTTAAAGTAGTTTTAGTCTCTACAACAGGTCATCACTTAGAAGCAGTGGAAGAAGTAAAGGTTTATTCCATGCTGAAAGAAAAGATAGACAATATTTTGGTGGTGGAGCTACCTTCAGGTGTCTTCGCACCCGAAGAAGGCTGTCTCTTCTTTCCAGCAGGGAATAACCCTTTACTTGTTCCTTTGCAGCCTATGCATGCTGACGCAGCTCCCTACTTTAACTTAAAAGCAGTTACATTTAACCTTTAATTGTTATTGAAATGTAGCCTTGGCACCATGAACGTGATCTTTCATTCTGCAATGTTGAGCGATATAAAGTGTACAATGATTGTTACACATGGTTAATAAGTTAAGGAACCTCACATTCGGCTTCAGATATTGACTTCACTGTGTAACCTTGGGGCGGAGATACTCCAGTCCTCCAGAACTAGGATTGGGTGTCTTCAGGATTTTTAGTTCTCTTTAAAGCAGTAGGGCCTGAAGAACGGAGACGCTGGTAAATTTTCTGATTAAGACAATAAACTGATTCAGTTTAAGAGCCCAGTTGGACAGAAACACACCGACCCCCCCAACCAACTCTGGGGACCCTTGACTGATGTGATTCATTTCCAGCCATACACATATGAAAGGCCATCTCCGACTGATCTGTCACTTTTGTTCTGCAATTGTTTCTTAGCAGTCTGTGTAACCTGTAATATATAGAGTGCAGTAATTGTTTTGTTCTCCAATGTGAATTTTCTCTACATGGGTTTGGAGCAGCCTTTTGAATTTGTAGGTTCTCCTGGATACTCATTAATAATGCAAATTGGCAGGTGTCTGTTAATATTTCCTTGTGAAGTGGTGAAGCATAAAAATAGTGCCTAGACTGTAATTTTTATGAGACTTTCTCACACAATACTCAGGATTTACACCTGCTTTGGTAAACATTTTGTTAAAACTAAGATGCGTCAAATTTAAAATTGCACAGAAAAAAAATTGATTTTCTGAGCAGTTTTAAATTTGATGCATCACTATATCGGATGGTGATATGAGGATATGTTTTCAGAATAAAGTGTTTAGGCCAAAGATTGTGGTACTAATCATGTCAATTTGATGATTTGAAGGTAGAAGCATTTGTGGTGGAGATAGAAGCAATTCAGGGAGCCTTTTAACCTCTAATCATTTTTTACACATGCCCTAGTCTGTCTGGAGCCAAGCAAGGCCTGTAAAACCTTATGTGGTGTTTGAGCTCTCCAACTAACGACACATACATAATAGCTGAAAGCCCCGTTTGCTAGCTGTAATCCATTTTAGGCTCCAAGTTCCTGAAATGTGGGGAAAAAAAAGACTCCACAAGATTCCCCGTACAACTACTCTTGAGAGAAAAAAACCCGGACCTCTCTAGAAATATATTTTAAAGCGTTAAGATTCTTTTCCCGTGGTTGATCAGAAGGGAGGGATATGATGGATGATGAGCTGTTATCAAGACCTTGACAGCTGTGGTTCTCTGAGGTGGGGGGTGCAAGGAAGAGACAGTCGAATTGAGCTATAGTGGCCAGCAAGGCCAGCCTCTTAAATAAGCTTGAAAAGGAATCCAAATGTGCGCTATAAAAAAATCTCTCCCTTTTTATTGTGTTTTATCTACATCTTGGCTTTTTGACCTTTTAAGTATTGCAGAAAGGTGAAGAGTGTATGCCAGGGGATTTTAACCCTTTTTGCATCAGTTGTGCTTTGGACAGAGAGATTTTTAACCTGTCCAATTTATAGTATTTGGATTTGCTATGCCTGCAGTTTTGATCTGACCTTTGCTAGGTGTAGGTTTCAGGGTTTTCTTTATTATTGTACCCCTGCTGTCGCTTTCTTTTTTTTAAGAAAAAAAACAACCAACCTCTTGAGCACCAGCAGTGATTGGGTTGGAGAGGAGAGCCCATGTGCGTGTGGCAGTCAGGCCTGGGGTGACCGAGCCGGGACTTGGGGCACTGTGGCTCGTCGCTGTGCGCCGATGTCAAATCCAGGCTTGTGCTGCTACTTGTCTGACCGTAATGAAGAGGGTTTAATAATCTGAGTTAGCCGCAAACCTGCTTCTGGCATTTTCGTGTGTGCTCAGCATATTAAATCACTCTGGTGTAAAATACCTTAATAAACATTTTCAAGTGCCAGTTTCAGAATCACTCCAAGTGCTCAAGCCAAGTGTTTTGCCTCTCCGTCCTACTCCCTGAATCTGAAGGGTTCAGCAGACACCGATTTAATTTAGCCCCTTGTGA